ACATTATTATTATTATTATTGTTGTTATTGTTGTTACTATTACTTCTATTCTTGCCACAGCTACAACTACCATCACTGTTTAGAATGCATTTCGGTTTCATTATTGCAACGACCTTGTTGTTGTTGATGTTGTTGTTGTTGTAGTTGATGATGTTGTTGTTGATGTTGTTGCTGATGTGATTACTTTCAGAAAATGGCGACAGATCGATACCTTCGTTGAATATACAATCTTTGGCTACGTGGGGTGGGGTCTGGTAGAACCGCGGTGTTGCCATTTCGCGGAGGGCATAATTTCTTGCTGGCGGTGGTGTCGTTGGTATAATGTTGTTGTTGATGTTACTGATGTTGTTGTTGATGTTGCTGCTACTGATGTTGTTGTTGATGTTGCTGCTACTGATGTTGTTATTGTGGATGTTGTTGTTGATGCAAATGTTGCCGACGTTTCGCATAACGATGTTGATGTTATTGATTTCTGAGAGATTTTTAAATTTTTGGATGTTGCTGTTGTTTTTGATGTTGTTGTTAATGTTGTTGTTGTAGGTATTAGCAGCATAGTCAACCTCATCATCGACACAGTGATCATTTTCTTCATTGTTGTTGTTGCTGAAATAACTTTTAAAAGTAGCACTGTTGGCAGACGACGACAATTGTTGTTGTTGATGATGTTGTTGTTTACGATGTTGTTGTTGTTTCTTGAGAGAGTTGGTTCGTCTAACAGCCGCGACTGACTTTGTTTTAATAGAGTGAAAGCATTTCAGAAAACCAGAATCAATGGTTGCATATTCATTGTTATTGATGTTGTTGTTGTTGAATAATTTGCTGTTGTTGTTGTTGTTGTGGTTACAATTGGCGGGCTTAGCAATATCAACAACGACATCATCATCGTCGTCGTGAATGACGTCATCGCCGTTACTAATTGTCCTCTTGTTGTTGTTGAAAAAAGAATTTAGAAAAAACATTTTGGTGGCTGAGAAATTTTTCGTGACTTTAGTTACACCACTCTGCTGCTGTTGTATTTTGGTAGAATTTTCTAGAAAAATATCTCGACTAGCCCTACCCCCACCACCACCATCATCGCCATCTTGATGGCAGTTGTGAATATCGTAGGTCGATTTTGAGATGGGCTTGCTGCTATGAAGCTGTTGCACTTGCTGCTGATGTTGTTTCTGCTGCTGTGACACAGAGTAACGGTTGACGTTGTTGAGATTTCTTCTGTGCATATCGAAATTAATGTTGTTGTTGTTGTTGTTGACGATGTTGTAGTAGTTGTTGTTGTTGCTGATGTTGTAGTAGTTGTTGTTGTTGTTGTTGCTGATTTTATGACAGCAATGTTGATTGGTTGATGACGACCTGTGAAGGCTATTGAATTTGAGTTCATCTCTAGCATTCGAAAGTGATGTTTCACTTTCAATGAAAGGTTTTTTGGCGGCAAGCTTCTGTTTACTTTCAAGGCAGCTACATTGAGTGCTTGGGTCTATGATATTTTTGTTATTAACGTTGAAGTTATTACTATTATTATTATTATTATTATTATTATTGTTGTTGTTGTTGTTATTATTATTGTTGTTATGATGAGAGTAGGACGACGGTAAAGCTGGCATGAGAAACGGTGATGATGACGACGACGAAGACGATGATGATGATGATAAAGACGATGACGTCATTGATGGATGAGGTGATGGCAGTGCTGCTGCTGGTGGTACTGGTGGTGACGACGATGACGACAGCAAACTTTTTTTCGGAATCCTAGAGAAAAAACCAAAAATATTGTTTGATACCACTATGATTTATATATAGATACAATTAGATTGATACCTCTATGAGTTATAGATACAATTAAATTGATACCTTTATGAGTTATAGATACAATTAGACTGATACCTTTATGAGTTATAGATACAATTAGATTGATACCTCTATGAGTTATAGATACAATTAAATTGATACCTTTATGATTTATAGATACAATTAGATTGATACCTCTATGAGTTATAGATACAATTAAATTGATACCTTTATGAGTTATAGATACAATTAGATTGATAACCCTACGATTTATATATAAATACAATTAGATATAGATATCATATAGATGAAATTGAAATAAATAAATAAACCCAAATTAAAAAACGAAATAAAATAAAAATTAAATTACCCCAAACTCAAGGACGATAGCAACTGATTGGTTCTCGCCTCGACACTCACTACGATTGGTCGAGAAGTCGACAAAGAGAATGCTGAATTATGATTGGCCCGCTGAATTACTCCAATATTATTATTATTACCATTATTATTATTATTAATAATGTTATTAGTATTAAAGTTAAATGCCGATGTTGTTTTAAATCTAGGAATTATTACCGGTGGGGCTGTGTTGTTATTATTATTGTTATTATTATTGTTATTATTATTGTTGTTGTTGCTTGTGGTCTCGGATATAGTTTCGTAAATGTGACTGGTGTAGCAGCACTGAGGTTTGTGGCAAGAGAGAAAGAGGTTATTGATACCATTATTATTATTTTTGTTGTTGTTATTGTTATTATTATTGTTATTATAATTATTGTTGTTGTTGTTGTTGTTTGATAGTTTATTCAACGGTAAGAGTGATGACGACGACGATGAAGAGAGTGCAGATTCTAGAATTATAAAAATTCATATTTATTTATTTGGTCCATTGATTTACAATCATCATCATTATCATCATCATTACCAACAACAACATCATCATCATCATTACCAACAACAACATCATCATCATCATCATCACAATATCATCATCATCATCATCATCACAATCATCGTCGTCACCTTCAAACTTGGACGCAATATGTATGAGGGATTTGCCATCTAGCTGCCTGTATTTATTCACTCTCTTCTCCAACTCCATCAACTGATGTAACGATCAGTGGATTGATGGATGGAAAATGAATGAATGAATGAATGAATGAATGAATGAATGAATGAATGAATGAATGAACGAACGAACGTTTAAATGAATGAAAAATTTGATGAAATGTGAATAAAATAATGGAAGAATGATATATAAATTAGTGAATAAATGAACAAAAAAAATAAGAGAAAGAAGGAATGAAGAATGAATGAATGAACGAACAAATGAATGAACAAACAAACAACAAACAAAAGAATGAAAAAACGAATGAACGAAAAAGATAAACCTTTTTCAAAGATTTCTTGTAATGAACGAGCCACATGAACTTTGACTCCAGTGACGTAATAGGAAGTTGTGGTGATGATATTGTCGACGTCATAACCATCATCGTTGTTGTTGTCGTTGTTGCTGATGGTTTGTTGACGTTGTTGTTGTTGATGATGTCACTGCTGGAATTTGATGACGTCATTCTACACTTATGCGCTGCTGTTACAATTAAGAATATTAAAACGGATTTAATGCACGGTTGTTATTATCATTATTACTACTATTATTATTATTATTATTATCATCATTATTATTATTATTATTTATACATCATTATCAGGTTTAACATCATCACCATCATCACCATCACAAACCATTGCTATCGTTGCTAAGGTAGGCCAGTCTCAAATAGCCCAATGTTAGTTTCTGCTGGAAGGTGAAGTTCAGTTCCAACTTTTCCAAAGTTTCTTGGACCTAAAAATAGTTTACCAATCAATTAATCAATCAATTATTCAATCAATTAATAATTAATTAATTAATCAATCAACCAATCAATCAGTCGATCAACCAATCAATCAATCCTTCATCTTTTCACCTCCATTTACTCGTTCAATCATTTATTCCCAAAAATCTAGCTTACAATATCGACAGATTTTTTCGGAGTACTAGTTGATGTTTGGTGGAAAACTTTAGCCCTTCTGACGTCACTGACACTTTCAACCAATGACATTTCAGCAGGGGCGTGTCCAGTAATCGCCTAATTGACACAATTAATACGATTTACATATTCAAATTACCACAGTCTGTTCGTGCATACGCTATCACATAAATGAATATTATTGTTACTACAAAAATGCAATAAATAAGTGAATGATTAATCACTCAATTGCCAAATTAATTATTCAACCAACCAATCAGCCAGTCAGCCAAACAACCAATAAATCAATTGACCAACCAGCAAACCAACCAATAAATCAATTGACCAACCAGCAAATCAACCAATTAATCAATTGGCCAACCAGCCAATCAACCAATTAATCAATTGACCAACCAACCGACCAACCAGCCAACCAACCGACCGACCAACCAACCAACCAAAACTACCTTCTCTAGGTCACAAAGTTCCTTTAGTTTCCTCAACTTCTCCAACTTCACAGCCTCCAGGTGCGACTTTTTCTCATTCAAAACAGAAAGCATACCTCTGACCACAAATTGTTTCACGTCATTATTATTATTATTATTATTGTTGTTGTTGTTGTTAATGTTATTGTTGTTAATGTTGTTGCTATTAATGTTGTTGTTGATGTTGTTATAGATAGAATTGCATGAGGTGCTTCTGACGTTGTTGTTGGCACTGCAGCTGCTGTTGTTGATGTTCTTGCTGCTGCTGCTGCTGTTGTTGCAGCTGCTGAAGGCTTCACTGATGATAGAACTGTCGGCTGTGAGAGAATGAATGAATGAATGAATATATGAATGAACGAACGAACGAAGGAATGAATGAATGAATAAATGAATGAATGAATGAATGACCTAATCAGCCAGGCAGCCAACCTTTCAATCAGTCAATCAAACAGCCATCCAACTCAAACTCACAATGCAGGCAAGAGTAACTGGCGTCCAAATCAAAGGATATGTCATTCCTGTAATGGCCCTTGCCAACCTGTTATTGCAATTGTCATGCATAATTGAATGGTGATGGTGATAGTAATGATGACGACGACAATGATGGTGATATTATTTCATCATAATTGCATTACATTGCCACACACACGCACACATGCGCACACAAGCATGCACGCAGAAGTGCCTAAATATATATAATATATCCTTGCATACATTGAATTCATATACTACATAACACCATTAACATTCTCACACACTCACAATCACACACACACACACACAGAGAGAGAGAGAGAGAGAGAGAGAGAGAGAGAGATTTACTAACATTAACGGAATGAAAATCCAGATAGAACTGATGTTGCTCAACGCATAGAGACCAGAGATACTTAGCATGTATTTGAGAAGGCAGAAACCATGTATGAATGTTAATGTGTGCAGTTGTTGTTGTTGTGTTGATGTTGTTGTTGCTGTTTTTGATGTTAACGTTACTAATGTTGTTGTTGTTGATGTTGTTGTTTGATGATAGTTGTTGTTGTTGTTCGTAGACTTCGATGCTGAACTTTCTATCTCTGTAGTATAAATTTTCAAGTTGCTTCCATTTGAAAACCTGAAAATTTTCATCGTCCATCGCTATTAATTTTTTTCTAAAAAAAAAAAAAAAAACAACTTTGCCATCACAATCAGCATCGCCACGGCCATCATCATCACTAACATCGTCTCATCATCACCATAACCAACATCATTATCATCACCAACATCATCATCATCATCAACCTTTCTTGGAACTCTCCTGTCATTGTGATCGTACAGTCTCAATCCATCGAACGATATGCCTAACCACCAGGGAATCCCACATTTGTCCTGTTGATTGAATGATTGAAGGAATTAATTCACCAGTGAGTGAATGAATGAATGAATTAATTAATTAGTTAATTTAAGAACGAACGAATGGTGTAATTCAGAAATGTGTAAAAAACGAAAAACGTTTTGAGAAAATGAATGAAATTAAAATAAATGCACGTACGAATGAATGAATAAATGGATGGTAAGAAAAAACAATTAATGAATGAGAGAACGAACGAACGAACGAATGAATGAATGAATAAATGAATGAACGAATGAATGAAGCAGACCTTGAGGTAATAGTAATGCACTCCATACATCAACTGTCGTTCAACTATTTTCATGTACCTACAAATCATTTGGGGTTATAAAAAATATTTATTAAAAATTACTTTCACCATCATCACCACCCTCATCACCACCATCATCATCACCACCACTATCATCACTACCACCATCATCATCACCGTCATCATCATCATCACCATCATCATCATCATAACTCACTCAACAAGCGACCTTCCTTTACTCATGCCAAAAAGATCTTCATACCTTTTTACTATCTCCCTTTCACTGTAAAATAATAATAATAACAATAATAATAACAACAACAACAACAACAACAACAACAATAATAATAATAATAACAACTACAACCAACACAATAATAATAATAACGACGACAACAACAACTGTACCAGTGCGTTACAGACTGTATGTCTTTATATATGTTCAGAGCCGGGAGGATGATGTTGTTGTTGTTGTTGACGCTGCTGCAATTATTATTATTATTGTTGTTGTTTTTGTTGCTGTTGTTGTTGTTGTTCGCCCTCCTCAAAATTTCCCACAGAGACGAGAAACTATTTGAAAGAGAGAAAAAAAGATTTAACTGTCTCTTATTAATGCGTTTTAAAACTTTACAACAATCTTTGCAATCATCATCATTACTTCCATCACCATCATCATCATCATTATCATCATCATTATCATCATCATCATCATCATTATCATCATCATCAGTAAAGCCATCACCATCGTCGGCTTAATTACATTATCACCATCCCCGCCCAGCTAGCTAACCCGTCGTAATCCCCGAGGTCATGTTGAAGTGCTAGCGATATCAGGGTCAGGGTCGTGTGATGTGTGTCACATTCTATATCACCCTGCTCAGTGATTGGTCGGTCAGTTAGTCAGTTGATTGGTTGAGTGATTGATTGAATGAATCAATAAGATGGTATAATTGAGTGAAAGAAACATGTATTGATGAAATTGAGAAAGAAGTATACAACTGTATACAATTTTTTAATTCTTGTGGGCTTGGCCACAGTGCAACTCAGAATAGCTTCTCAATGATAACACAACGAGAATAAATTAGAATGAGAATAAAATAACATCGTTACTAGAAGAAAAATGTATCAATGTTAATGAAATACACACACACACACACACACACACACACACACACATATATATATATAAATTATTGTCCTTTAAAGACAGAACTTTTCGTAATCAAAAACCTTTTCAATTCATTTTTAAAAAGATACAAAAAGTTAAAACAATATTTAATTTCTAGTGGAATCGTCTCCAATATTTCTTGGCCGGTGTGTTTCAAACTCATGCAGAGTAATTTAATTCTGGTAGGGGTGTGGTGTGTAGTTCTTACTTGAATGTTTGGAAAATCAGTAAAAAAAAAACTGAGTCAATTGTGTCCACAACAAAGGAGGGTCTGCTATGAACCTATAATGCTTTCTTAAGATTCAAAAATTATGTTTCTAAAATATTTAACAAAATTCTCAGCTACTAGCACAGAACCTATTGAGGGACCAACAGTCTTCGTACACAAAATCCCGTCCTTACATACAACTCTATATATCCCTACATAACTCTATATAACTATACAAATTTATATAATCCTATACAACTCTATAATGTCCTATATAACTCTATATAACTCTTTGAGAGAGAGAAAGAGAGAGAGAGAGAGAGAGAGAGAGAGAGAGAGAGAGAAACAAAGAGAGAATCAAGCAAGCATACAAGCAAGCAAACAAACACACCTTGCTGACATGTGTTCTAGCCTGTCTATAAAACAGTTCAATGGCCCTTAAATCCTTGAGTACCAAGGAACTCTTCAAGTAATATCTGCAAATCGAAACGTAATGGAGAGATACTGTATCTATATATCATGCTACAAACAAACAAACACACACACGCAAATACACAGACACACACACAAAAACATGCATACATCAAAAAATCCAGAGTGTTTTAACTTGTCCATCAATGAATCATTCTATTATTTATCTTTTAATCAGCCAAAAACCTAATCAATCTCAACCAACCAACCAATCGACCAACCAACCAACTAACCAACCAACCAATCGACCAACCAACCAACTAACCAACCAACTAATCAACCAACCAGATAACCAGCCAACCAACCAACCAACTAATCAATTATCCAACAGACCTAACTCCTAAATTCAAAACAATCAGAGTTGATGTTGTCGTGGTCGTCTGTTTTTTGATGAAATCATGCTCCAAAATAGGCAGATCAGGCGACATCCACCAATTCCATCTATAAAATAGTAATAATAATTATAATATAATAATAATAATATAATAATAATAATAATATCATCATCATCATCATCAGAAAAGGTTTTAATTAGTTGGAAACATTTTAATGACATGCTTTAGCATCTTCCCACTGATTGGAAATATCAAATTTAAACTATCTCCGTATGGGTGTATGTGTGTTTGTTTGTATGTCTGTTTGTATGTATGTACGTAGGTATGTATATATTAAATGAATGAAAAAAATAAATTTAAAAACGAATGAAAAGATGAACGAATGAATGAACTGCCAACAAAGAATGAATAAGCCAAATGATTGAAAGAGTGAATAAATGGATGGATGGAAAGTTGATTATTTGATGTGTGAATCAAACAAAAAACAAATAGGGATTAGAGGAAAAAGTACAAAAAAATGAATGAATGAACGAATGAATGAACGAATGAATGAACGAATGAATGAACGAACGAACGAACGAATGAAAGAATAAACGAATAAATAATAAATAAAACAAACAAACAAACATGATCAAATAACTAAACATTATTTTAGTGCAACTGCCTGATGATAATGATAATGATAACGAAGACGCCTAATGATGATGATGATGATGATAATAATGATGATGATAATCGTAGTAATGTAACGAAAATGGTGATGGTAGTGATAGTGGTGATGGTGATGATGATGTTTATGCAATAGAAAATGTAGAAGAAATTTTTTCACAAGGACAATTGGTGCATATCAATAAATAAGAATGCAATGATTAAATAGGATTGATTGAACGAACGAACGAATGAATGAAAGAATGAAAGAATGAATGAATGCATGAATGCATGCATGCATGCATGCAAACAAAAAATGAAAAATTCATGAGTGAAGTAAATGCCATACTAACTTGCTACTACTACTACTGTTGTCGCCAATAGCCCTACTAGCGTTAATATTATTATTAAAATCGCTGATGTCACTGCTACTACTACTGTTAATACTATTACTATTATTATTATTATTGTTGCTGTGGTTGTTGTTGTGGTTGTTGTGGCTGCTGTTGTAGTAGAGGCCGAAGAAGCAGCGATCCTTGATCAGGAACTGAGATAACACCATGTCTAAGAGTTCTCCAGTCTGTAACTTGGCCTGTTGTTGTCGTTGTTGTAAGTCAGATATGATAAAAAAAAACACAAGAAAAGAGGGAGAAAAAAAGAGAGAGAGAGAGAGAAAGAGAGAGCAAAAAAAAGAGAAACAAATATAGACAGAAAGAACGAGGAGATATAGAGATATAATCTTCTAAAAAAAAGGGAATGGCGAAGATGTGGAAAAGAAAAACAACCAAAGAAGCGATAAGGAAGATGTGTTAATGTTAATGTGTTAAGCGAGAGAGAGAGAGAGAGAGAGAGAGAGAGAGAGAGAGAGAGAGAGAGAGAGAGAGAGTAATGAATGTATATATGGTTACCCGGGGAAAACCTCAACCAATGAAAGATTTTGAAAAAGATATAATCATTATCATCATCCTAACCGACATCATCATCACCACCACCATCATCATAACCTACTTGTACAGAGACGTCTAGATGGTGACCGTCAAGTAACAAAATTCTGAACAACTTGACATCAGCCATCTGGGTTTTAGGTGAATGAATGAATGAATGAATGAATAAATGAATGAATGAATAAATGAATGAATGAATGAATGAATGAATAAATGAATGAGTGAAAAAACGGATAGATTAATGAATTAATAAATGCAATAATTTAATTATTAACTTATTAATTAACGAATGATTTAATGAATAACTGTAGAAAATGAATAATAAAATGATTAAGAACTCTACACAGACCCACTAAAGAGAAAAATAACCATTGAGTGAGCGAAAGAAAGCGTTAAAAACGTATGAACGAATGAATGAACGAACGAATGAACGAACGACTGAATGAACGAATAAATAAATTAAAATGTACTGGAGAAGAAACTCGTGAAATATTTGCACTAGTAGATAGAACCAATAATGAATGATAGAGGAAAAAAGCAGAACAAAAA